AATAACAGGACTTCTTTCCATCACTCAAAGAGTTACTCTGTTTTATGACTAATTTTGCCTTGCATATACATACCATATGGTCTTTATCATGTCATCTATTTTTAAATTTTATAACATGTTTATGTATTTTTTATTTTCCTCATCAAATAATGATGTTTCTTTAGAAACATACTGCTTTAGCAAAATTATTTTTAACCTTGAAAATGCTAAGCAAAATAAGCAACATTATCTTTTTTTATGATAATGTGCATGTTTTATTTTAAATTTTATTTTTCCATTACAGTTTACATTCACTATTATTTTATATTAGTTTCTGATGTACAACATAGTGGTTAGACAATCATGCTTTACAAAATGATCCCTGGATATTTCCACTCATTTACTGATGGGCACTGGTTTGTTTCCATATGTTGGCTATTATAAATGATGCTGCCATGAACATGCGGGTGCTTACATTCTTTCAAATTTGTGTTTTAGTTGTCTTTGAATATATATTTAAAAGTGGGATTGTTGTGTCATAAGGCAGTTCCACTTTTAGTTTTCTGATGAAATTCCATACTGTTTCCACAGTGGCTGCACCAGTCTGCATTCCCACCAACAGTGCACTAGGGTTCCCTTTTCTCCACAATCTTGCTAGCACTTATTGTTGGTTGATTTATTTTTATTTTTTTAATTAATTTTATTTAGTTATTTTTCAAGTACAGTTTTTTTCTCTATTTCTCTCATCCCAGCCTCCCCTGCCCCTTGCTCACCACCTCCCTCCCATTTCCACCCCCCTTATTAATGATGGCCATTTTGACACGTGTGAAGTGGTATCTCATTGTGGTTTTAATTTGCATCTCTCCAATGGCTACTGATACAGAGCACCTTTTCATATGTCTATTGGCCATCTGTATGTCCTCTTTGGAATAGAGGACATACAATTTATGTATTTTTTATTCAGGTTCCATCTTTGGAGTTAGACAGCTCTGAGTCAGCCCTACCTCTGCAACTAGCTGTATGGCCTTTGTCAATCCACTGATCTGTCTGAGCTTGTTTTCCTTGTCTTAAATGTGGATAACTCTAACCGCCTAATGGAATTTTAAGGATTCAACAAGATAATAAATATAAAGCCTTATCACAGAGCTTTGGCACATAGTAGCTGCACCACAAATGTCGCTGGTCTCTGAGAATGAAAGCATAATACATGGAGCTTCGTGCAGATTTGTAGTCTGACAGAATTCTGTTGCACTGGTTTCTAGCTGTGTGGCTTTGGGCATGATTTTGACGCAGAGTGCCAGCCTTCCTTTTCTTTGAAATAAGGAAAATAATATATATTTCTTAGGGTTGTTATGAGGATTGAGTGAGTTACTGCATTAAAACACCTGGCATAGAGTAAGGCCCAATAAGCAGCAACCTCTTTTAGTAGGAACAAAGTATCTAGTAAACTACAGGCTGACATCTCACAAAGGTCGCTTCTCTTCTCTCTTCAGAAAGCAGTCCTGGTCCATCAGGTAGTTCAAATTGTCTGCCATTTGAGCCCTGTTCAATCTGAATTTTTTTTCAGATCTAAATACAAAGCTTTCCAAATATACATTTAAAAATAAATCTACCCACCCACCCCTGCAGTACACATAATGAGACACAATTAGCTGACTTCTTGATTGGACTCATGGGGTTCAGGCTTGCAGAAAGCATTGCTGCTGGCATCTTTCCTATGGTTCTTTGCACACTCAAATTATATTTATTACCATTCTAGCCTCACTCAATAAGGTTACTATTTGAAACTGACTGAAGAAAGTGGGTGGGCTTTCTCCAACTTCACTTGTCTGTGGAACCTTGAAACAACTTGCCCCAACTTAGTTATGTTTGATTTCAAAAACAGCTGCGGCCTGGATTAGTTTAAGCAATCACTGGTGGCTTTCTGGGCTACCAAGTTCCCACCATGATGGTGGTTAGCTTACCCAACCATATTGAGGGATATAAATATGACATCTATTTGGAATAATTATGTAGGAACTAGCCTTCTGAGTCATTTGGGGCCCTCTTGACATGTTTGTGATTCAGGGGATGATAAAACAATGGTGGGAAATGGGACACTTGTCACTCCCATGTGGCTGTGACTGCATTTAAAACAATGGACCCCCGTGGTTGTGAAAAGAGTAGGTATTTGGTCTTGACCTTCCACTGTCTGCCTGGAGCTCTAGAAGCCATGTGCTGGAAAGCCAAGTACTCCCAGCAATAAGGGACTTTTGTGCCAATATTCTTATACAAGCAGTGTCTTCTTCACTACCTGGCATAGTATGTAACACCCAAGAGGCACTCAAGAAATAGTTATTGAATGGGTTAACAGTGCTGTAGACTCAAACAGCCACAAAAATCAGTGCTGAAAGAAACAGTAACTATTTAGACTCCATCTACCCCCAGTCTGGCAGATTGGGTAACTGAAGTCCAAGAGAGGAAGAGACTGACTCAAGGTCACCATTACCTAAACATACCTGCCCAAACATTCCAACACAGATATGCCTGCAAATCTGGATGCGTTTATAGTAAAGGGACTTACAGTTATGATCAACAGAAGATATCCCTTGTCCTAGAATTTTCAATCAGAACTTATATGAATGTTCGGTAAATGTTCCAGAGCCTTGAAAGGTGACGCTAGACCTGCCAGGCTTAATTCTCTGTCTTTATACTTTGTCCAGCCTGATTTTTTTTATGTCACCTGTCCATTCATTCTCTTATTCTCACATATATTTTGTCTTCAGCAAACATAAAGGCGAATTCTCTTAATTACTCCCGAAATCCCTTTGAAAGGGAGGGTGTCAATGATCCCATACAGAATTGAAAGACAAAGACTCCAACTGTGTTTTTGAAATGTCAGTCATATGTCTCTTCATTCCCAAGTCCTTAATACTGAAGCCAAGATCACACTCAATGAAAGGGGCGGGAGGAAAGCTCTGAGATCATGGAAAATTAGGACAATACATGTTGATCGTAAAATTAATTTACCGGAGGAAATCCGGTGACTGTCCTCATTTTACTTCAAACAAAGGAAAGGGAGTAGGACAAGGAAATTATGTGAAGGGGAGGTGGGACTTGTCTCTGGATGGAGCCAGGAATAGACCCTTCTATTGCTAGAAGTAGTCATTGTGAGGACCACGCTTTCAAGGGCAGTACCGCTCTCAGCCAGAGACACACTTTTATATAAGCTGCTCTTTTCCTAGAATTAGGGTGTTTCAGAGGCTGACAGCGCTAACTTTCCAGTCTTCCCACTCATATCTAAACATACATGTTGAGCTTTAGTGAAGTCGAAAACCCTTTTTGAGTTTGATATGACAGCCACAAGAAACAGAAAAGGAAAGATGTTGCTGGTCTTTGTCTAGAACTAACATTGGTCAGGCCTGGGAGGGGAAAAGTAGGAGGGAGTGGGAGAGAAAAATGCAAGGCAAATTGCCAAGGGAGAATTAGTGGGCAACAGTTTGTATTTACAACCCCCAGAAAGAAAGCATTAATTAGTCAAGGGTGAAAGAAGCCCGGTTAGCCTGTCCCCCATTTCATCATGCTGAAATTTTTTGCTGTGAAAGCCCTGGCTGGTGTAGCTCAGTGGGTTGAGCGTGGGCTGCGAATCAAAGAATCGCCAATTTGATTCCCAGTCAGGGCACATGCCCAGGTTGCAGGCCAGGTCCCCAGTAGAGGGCATGTGAGAGGCAACCACACATTGCTGTTTCTCTCCTTCTCTTTCTCCTTCCCTTCCTCTCTCTCTAAAAATAAAGAAATAAAAGAATTTTTTTTTGCTGTGAATGCACTAAAGGCCTGTCAGTTAACTCTTCCATTTTCTGTGAAGAAACACAACTCAGGTCACTTTTCTCGAGTGTCAGATATGTATTTAAGAGTTCATAGCCTAGCACTTCTACTTACTAGCTGTGTGACTTTCTGAAAGCTATTTAGCATTCTAACCTCTTTATCTGTAAATAGGGATAATCATAGTATCAACCTCACAGGGTGAGGATTAAAGGAGTCTATTTGCATAAAGCACTTGGAACAATGCTTTACACCTAGCTCAATGAACTATTATTAGTATTAGTAGCATTGATGTTATTAGTAATACATTCAATTAGAAAACTGGAGCAAGCAGATGGACATATAGGTAGGGAACTCAGAAATGAGATTACTGCCCTGGCTGGTGTAGCTCAGTGGATTGAGTGTGGGCTGCAAACCAAAGGGTCCCCAGTTCAATTCCAAGTCAGGGCCCATGCCTAGGTTGTGGGCCAGGTCCTCAGTAAGGGGCATGTGAGAGGCAACCACACAGTGACATTTCTCTTCCTCTCTTTCTCCCACCCTTCCCCCCTCTCTCAAAATAAATAAATAAAATCTTTTTTTAAAAAATGAGATTCCTGCAAGTCAGGTAGAATCCTATTATAATTTGTTGTCGATTTTCTTAGATCCAAATGCAAACAATAAATGTCACTGAAAGTTGAAAAAAACTCTACTGTTAGCTTTTGTAATTAAGTTCATCACATAATAACTCTTGGGCACTGACCTTGCTTGCATCCAGGGTGCAGAGGTGAACTCATGGTACAGAGTCCCACCATTAGTAAGCTTCCAATCCAAAAGACTATTTTGAAACACACACCTTCTAGCATTTGGGTCTTGGGTTTACTTCTCTTCAACAGGGCTGTATTGTGCCTACTAAAGGTAAGATATTTGAAATAATCACAAGTAGGGCACAAGCATTTACCAATCAGGTCATGCTTTTGTGCAGAGGTCTCTCTTGGGTCAGATATTAACTCTTGAGTTGCTGGGTCATGGGGGTGACAGGGGCTAAGGGCCTATTCATGGGGAGGGACCAGGGTGTTGGTTGAGAGGATAGGGCACTTAGGAAGGTACAGGCAGCAGCTATTTATAGACTGATGTGAAATATGTCAATATTCTAACCATTGGGATTCCTGTACCAGTAATACAGCCAAATTATCAGCCTTGGTGTGGGGCCTTAATCTCTGTCATTTTCTCCTCTTGTCCAGAAAAACCAAAGATCTATGAAAAGGATACAGATTTGAAACACATCCAGCCAATACTCCTCGGCAGTGAGAACACCCTTCGCTGTACAGCAAGTGGCCTGCCCGTGCCCTCTTTCGTGTGGGCCTGGGAACCCTGCCGCCCAAAAGATGAGCTGTAAGTGACCTGCATGCCAAAGGACTCTATATGGTTTAGACCACAGGTGGCAAACACAAGGCTTGTAGGCCAAATCCGGCCCTCTGCCTTGTTTCATCCGGCCCAGCACCTTATTTCTACCCAGCGGCAGCACAAAGCTCTCATTTAATTGTCAAGGAACAGTTACGTTTGATATAGTCCTAAAATTACATTCATCCCTTTGAAAGCAACTGTGAGGCTGATATGGCCCCCAGTGAAAATCAGTTTGATACCCCTGGTCTAGACTCTCAGATTTACTGAGCTACACCAGGGCCTGGCAGTCTTAATGTCTTACCAGGAGATTTTCTCTTCCGCAGGATATGACAGGTGATGCAGTGGTCTTGGAATGGGGCCTGGGAAGCTAAAAGAAGACTTAGTACTCTAATAGCTGCCAAAGTCCAGGTTTTGTCCAGTTCCTTCCAAAGTCACAGCCTCAAATCAGAGGTAGAAACAACTATAATGGTTCACAGGCCTGAAACTTTTAGATTTAGATTGGGATTGAAGATTTCAGTGGGAGAGGAACAGAACAGGGCAGGTTTCTAAGTATTTGTCATTGCATGGGAAAAAATTCAACAGTGAGCTTGGAAAGTGGACATGGCTCATCTGTTTGAGAACTGCCTTCATGATAAGCCTGATTAGGAAGGGTAACCCCACAATGGGAAAAATCTGTCGGCAAATAGCATTTTTAGATCATAGAACACTCATCTGGCTTCCTGTGATCCTGATGCAGAAGGTAAGACAGGGGTTCCTCTTCGCCGGTAACGAATGGAGATACAGAGGCTAAGGGAGAAAAATAACCGGCTTGTCACAACACAGAAGTTAATAGAGACATCACAACGACAGCCAGGCATCCCGACTCTTACCGCTTAAGAGCTTCCAGTTATTAAAGCTCTACTGCATGCCTGGAACATATTAGATATTTTGATTTTTGCTTTCTGGCAATAAGCTCTACTTCAAAGTGTCTCCTTTAGTTTCCTTGGGGACAATGAGTCACATGTGGCCCCTGTAGGGATTAGAAAAAAGAAAAGGAAAATTCAGAGAGGTGAAATGAATTGGCCCAGATCCCAGAGTAGGCAGCATTTAAGAAAACTTCATCAATACTCACCCAGCTCCTTCCACGAAACCGCCCTACAGGCTTGACACATGTGACAAATTAACTCTGAAAGGGTGAGGAGGACAGTGCACTCAGGTTTCTGTTGTTGTCTGAAGGATGACATATTAGGTGATTAGGGAAGTTCATCTTATTAACTCACTGTTGCACCATGCTGAAGGTTGAGCGTTAGCACGTGGTAATGAATGAGGTGGTAGCACTATCACTAGGGGATAAACTGGGAATGGGAATGTGTAGGAAATCCAATTTGGAAGGCCCAAAGTTTCAGGATGTGGCCTTGTGTTGGAGGAGAATGTAGGGGCTATAGTTATCAGACCAAGAGCTGGATCTTCAAATAGAAGGGGCTCCAAGTCTGTGTCTCACAGGTACTGTCCAGCCAGCTCTCATAAGCCAGCTCCACTCGATTGCTTCCTGCCTGCACATTGGTCCTTACAAAACATACTTATCTCTTCTCAATAGGCACCACAGTAAGATTCTTGTGTGTGTGTGTGTGTGTGTGTGTGTGTGTGTGTGTGTGTGTGTGTGTGTGAATAATGGTGGTTCTATCTACTTACTAAAGGACTGGCCTCCCTCCTTTCCTTACTTCGACATTCTGTAATTCCTAAATCACTTACATTGTTCTCATTCAGCTAAGATGCAGTAAAGGCAGTTATAGTTTCTGTACCTTGCAATTTGGAAGAAGAATGTGTAAGGAATACTGTTCCTGGGAAAATGCCTCGCCTAACAAAGTTGCTATTATGTAAACAATTATTGAGTACCTACTTTATTCTAGAAGCCACACTAGTCCACGTCTCTCGTCCATATGAAAATTAAATGGGGCAAATGTTAGGAGTATCATGAGCTTAGTTAGAGATTTAAATTTAGATTGTACATGAAGAACAAAAAAGGAGTATGATGAGGGCAGAACCTACTCTAGGTAAAGAAAAAAGACATATTTTGGCAAAGAAAGGGCTTTATAAGGAAGAAATATTTGACATCAGACTTAAAGAATAAGGAGCCAGCCGTGAGAACAATTATGCAACAGAAATATAATGTAAGCCAGCAGTCTAAGCCATATATGTAACTCTGAATTTTCTAGTAGCCACATTATGGAAACTAAAAAAAATTGATTTAATATTTCACCCAACATATCCAAAATATTGTCATATCATAAGCAATCAATATCAAATATCAATGAGCTATATTCGGTCTTTTTATATACTGTCTTTGAAACATTCTATGTATTCTATACTTTTGAAACATCTCAATTTGGAGTAGCCACACTTCCAGTGCTTATTAGAATGTCCAAATAAATCCACAATATGACTAATATTAGTTCCATTTAACAGCTGGGGAAACAGTCTCAAAAAAGAAGTGAGTTGCCAGAAGCCATACAAACTAGCATTGCTTGGGTTGAATTGCAGTTTGGCTGAGTATGAGTCTGGTACCTCATGATTCCCTCTAGTAATCTGCTTTCCTGGATATCTTGGTGCCCCAGAACTATTCTCATGAGCCTCTCCTCTTTGCTTAGGGCTCAGAGTGAAAGAGTTTATTCAGGAAAAGATACCAATAAAGGAGAACCTTATAGGGCTTCATATTCTATATCAGCCTAGAAAAATGGGTATGGCTTAAGAATAATACTCTCATGCTCACGGGCACACAGGGCTCCTTGCCCCTTTATTATATCAGGCATGCTCCTAGCTTAGGACCTTTGCATTTGCTCTTCCCTCCACCTATTATTGTCTTCCCCCCAAATCTTTATGGCTTACACTTGATTTATTTTACGACTCTGTTCAAATGTCACCTCCTCCAAGAGGTCTTCCCTGACCATTTTGTCTTCTAAATTAGGTGACGTCTTACCCGGAATTCTCAGGGTGACCTATTTTCTTAGACTAGAAGATTCGCTATCTCCAGTACTTCTTATGCTTCATACCCTTTCTATTGACTAGATTGTAAATGCAGCCTCACTCTTTCTTAGGTGTATGGAACGAGGCAAGCGGATCCATCTTTCCAATGAGACTCTGCAAAGCGATCTTCCTGTAGGCAACAGGATCCTGTCCATTGAGGACATGACAGTGACAAATGGAGAAAAGACAAAGGTAAACCTCTGGGAGTTGCTGTGGTAAAAGTGACCTTACAATCTGTGTATGAGTGGGGCTTCTATTCAGATACTTGGTGTTAACATTCCAGGAATGCCCAAGGTCTGGGGTATGGTTGAAGACTATTGACTGAAAAAAACATAAACTTTAATAACGATGTCACTTTTTCTTAATTAAATTTAATTTTTTATTTTTCAATTACAGTTGACATTCTTGTATTTCATGTTAGTTTTAGGTGTACAGCACAGGGGCTAGACATGTACATAATTTATGAAGTAATACCACTGATAAGTCCAGCATCCATGGGCATCATGCATAGTTATTACAATATTATTGACTATATTCCCTATGCTATACTTTACATTCTCGTGACTATTTAGTAACTCCAAATTTGTACTTCTTAATCCCTTCACCTTTTTCAATCAGAACCCCCAAGAACCCTCCCACCTGGCAACCCTCAGTTTGTTCTCTGTATCTAGGAGTCTGTTCTTGTTTTGCTTTGTTTTGTTTATTTTGCTCTTCAAATTCAGCATATAAGTGAAATTATACAGTAACTTGTTTTTCTCCATCTGACTTACTTGACTGAGCTTAATACCTTCTAGGTCCACCAAGTTGTTGCAAATAGCAAGATTTCATTATTTTTTATTGCTGGTAACATTCAATTTTATGTACATACATACCACATCTTCTTTATCCATTTATCTATTGATAGACACCAAGGTTGCTCTCCTATCTTGGCTATTGTAAGTCATGCTGCACTAAAGGTAGGATTGTGCATATTATTTTGAATAAGCATTTTTGTTTTCTTCAGATAAATATACAGAAGTGAATGGCTGGGTCATATGCAGCTCTATTTTTAATTTTTTGAAGATTCGCCATACTGCTTTCCACAGTGGCTGCACCAGTCTGCATTCCCACCAACAGTGAACTAGGGTTCCCTTTTTTCCACATCCTCTCCAGCACTTGTTCTTTGTTGATTTGTTTATGATGGCCATTCTCACCGGTGTGAGGTGATATGTCCTTGTGGTTTTAATTTGCATTTCCCCAATGATTGGTGCTGTTGAGTATGTTTTCACATGACCACCAGCCATCTGTATGTTTTATTTGGCAAAATGTCTATTCAGGTCATCTTCCCATTTTAAAATTTGTTTAAGTATTTTGGTGTTACATTTTATGTGTTCCCATATTTTGGATATAAACTCCTTTTTGGATGTATCATTTGCAAATACATTTTTCCACGCAGCAGGTTATCTTCTCATTTCGTGGATGGTTTTCTTTGCTGTGCAAAAACACTTTAGTTTGATGTTGTACCATTTTTTAAATTTTATTTTGTTAGCCTTCACAAAGGAGACATTCGAAGACATATTGCTAAGACTCAAAGAGTTTATTGCCTATGTTTCCCTCTAAGTGTTTTATGGTTTCAGGTCTTTTTTTTTTTTTTAGAGGGGAGAGGGAGAGAAATATCAATGTATGGTTGCTTCTCATGTGTCCCCTGCTGGGAACTGGCCTGCAACCCAGGCATGGGCCCTGACTAGGAATCAAACTGCAACCCTTTGGTTTGTAGGCCCACGCTTAATCCACTGAGCTACACCAGTCAGGGCTGGTTTCAGGTCTTAAATCCACTTTGTGTTTATTTTTATACATGACATAAGAATGTGGTCCAATTTCGGTTTTTACATGTATCTCTCCTGTTTTTCCTGCACCACTTATTGAAGAACCTGGTCTTTACCCCATTGTATAACCTTGCCTCCTTTGTTATAGATTAAATGCCCACATAAGTGAGGATTGTATTTCTGCATTCGTTCCATTCTGTTTCATTGATCTCTATGACCAATGCTGCTTTGATGACTGTAGCTTGTAATACAGCTTGAAATTGGGGAGTGTGATACCTCCCACTTTGCTTTTTTCTCAAGATTGCATTGGCTATTCAAGACCTTTTATAATTTTATATAAATTTTATGATTAGTTGTTCTAGTTCTAGCATGTTTATTTTAATAAAGATTGCATTGAATCTATGCTGCTTAAGGCTATAAGAACATTTTAATGATATTAACTCTTCTGGTCTATGAGCATGGTATATCCTTCTCTTTATTTGTATGTTCTTCAATTTCTTGCTTTAGTGTGTTATAGTTTTCAGGGTATAGGTCTTTCTACTCTGTTTACACTTATTACTAGGTGGGCAAAGGAGGAAAGAACAGGGCCATCTATAATAGTGTTAACAATAAAAATGAAGTTAAAAAAGAAAAATTATTACTAAGTAATTTATGTATTATGATGCTATTACAAATGGAATTTAAAAAGTGTCACCTTGTAATCATTCTTCTTTTTATTCTTGACAGTGCTGCAGATGTCCCCCATTTACATCCCTTTGCCCCTGCCCCTGACCTGGCTTCACAGTGTTGTCTGTGTCCATGGGCTGTGCACATGTGCATCTATATTCTTTGGCTATTCTCTTCGAGTCTCCTCACTCCTTTCCCCTCTGAGATCTCTCAGTCTGCTCCATGCATCCATACCACTAGTTTTATTTTGTTTGGCAGCTTATTTTGTTCCTTAGATTCCATGTATGAGTGAGGCCATATGGTATTTGTCTTTCTCTGACTGGCTTATTTCACTTAGCATAATAATCTTTGGGTCCATCCATCCACGCTGTCACAAATGGTAAGAGGTCCTTCCTTTTTATGGCCAAGTAATATTCCATTGTATAAATGTACCACAGGTTTCTTATCTACTTATCTACTGATGGGCACTTGGGCTGCTTCTAAATGTTGGCTATTGTAAATAATGCTGCTATGGACATAGGGGTACATATATTCCTTCTAATTGGTGTTTCAGGATTCTTTGGATAGGTTCCCAGAAGTGGGGTTGCCAGGTCAAAAAGCAGATTCATTTTTAGTTTTTTGAGATAACTCCACACTGCTTTCCACAGTGGCTGCACTAGTCTGCATTCCCACCAATAGTGTACAAGGATTCCCTTTCCTCCATATCTTCACCAGCACCTGTTGTTTGTTGATTTATTGATGGTAGCCACTCTGGCGGGTGTGAGGTGATACCTCATTGTAGTTTTAATTTGCATTTCCTTGATAATTATTGGTGTTAAGCATTTTTTGCTATGTCTATTTGCCATATTTATGTCCTTGAAAGGAGTCTGTTGAGGTCTTTTGCCCATGTTTTGAATTGGGTTGTTTGTGTTCCCATTGTTGAGTTGTTTTAATTATTTATATATTTTGGAAATTAACTCCTTATAAAATGAATCATTGGCAGATATGTTCTCTCATGCAGTGAGTTCCTTTTCCATTTTGTTGATGGTCTCCTTTGGCTTTGCAGAATCTTTTTAGCTTGATATAGTCCTGCTTGTTTATTTTTCCTCTGTTTCCCCTGCCTTAGGAGATATATTGACAAAAATATTGCTACACAAGGTGTCTGCAATTTTACTGCTTGTGTTTTCTTCCAGGATTTTTATGGTTTCCTGAATTACATTTAAGTATTTTATCCATTTTGAGTTTATTCTTGTGCATGGTATAAGTTAGTGGTCTAGATTAGGGGTTTTTTTTGTTTTTTTTTTTTTGGCATGTACCTGTCCAATTTTCCCAACACTTTGTATTAAAGAAACAGTTTTTACTTTACTGGATGTTCTGGCCTCCTTTGTCCAGTAGTAATTGACCATAAATGGATGGGTTGATTTCTGTACTCTCTGTTCTGTTTCATTGATCTATATGCCTGCTCTTTTTTAAAAAAAAGATTTTATTTATTTATTTTTAGAGAGGGGGGAAGGGAGGGAGAAAGGGAGAGAAACATCAGTGTGTGGTTGCCTCTCATATGCCCCCTACTGGGGACCTGGCCCACAACCCAGGCATGTGCCCTGATTGGGAATTGAACTAGCAGTCATTTGGTTCATAGGAGGCGCTCAATTCACTGAGCCACACCAGCCAGGGCCTTAGTTTCTCTTTGTGAGAGTTTGTCATTGGTGTATAGAAGTACCACCACTTCTGGATATTAATTTTGTATCCTGCTACTTTGCCAAATTCATTTAATAAAGCTAGTAGTTTTTTGGTGGAGTCTTTAGGGTTTTTTTATGCACAATATCATGTCATCTATGAATGATGACCGTTCTAGTTCCGCCTTTTCAATATGGATGTTTTTTATTTCATCTTGTCTGATCACTGTGGCTAGGACTTCCAGTACTACATAGAATAATTGTGGTGAAATTGGACAACCCTGTCTTGTTCCTGATAGTAAAGGAAACAGTTTTAGTCCTTTGTCATGTTGAGTTATGATTCGTCTATAAAGCCTTGGCTGACAGTTTGTATCATAAATGAGTGCCAGATTTTATCAAATGCTTTTTCTGTATCTATGGATATGATCATTTGATTTTTAAAAAATATTTTTTATTTATTTTTAGAGAGAAAAGAAGGGAGAGAGAAAGAGAGGGGAAGAAACCTCAATGTGTGGTTGCCTCTCACGCATCCCCTACTGGGGACCTGGCCTGCAACCCAGGCATGTACCCTGACTAGAAATTGAGCTGGTGGCCCTTTGGTTTGCAAGTCAAAGCTCAATCCACCGAGCTACACCAGCCAAGGCTGATCATTTGATTTCTGTCCTTCGTTTTGTTTATGTGATGTAACACATATACTGATTTGCAGATATTGTACCAACTTTGCATCACCCCGTACAACCCAACTGAGTCATCTGTATGACATTTTTAATGTATTGCTAGATCCAATTGGCTAATATTTTGTTGAGCATCTTAACATCTATGTTTATCAGTCATATTGGCCTATAATTTTCTTTGTTTGTAGTATCTTTATCTGGTTTTGGAATTAGGCTAATGCTGTGATAATGCTGGCTTTGTAAAAAGAGATTGGAAGCCCTCCCTCCTCTTGAATTTCTTGGAATAGTTTGAGGAAGATAGGTGTTAGTTCTTCTTTGAATGTTTGATAAAATTACCCTGTGAAGCTGTCCATTCTAGGACCTTTTTTGCTATTGTTGGAGTTTTTCTCATAACTGCTTCAATTTCATTAGTTGTAATCTATTGTTTCTGATTTAGTTTTGTAAGATTGTATGTTTCTAGGAATTTATCTATTTATTCTAGTTGTTTTAGTTTGTTGCCATATAATTATTTGTAATATTATCTTAAAATTCTGTGTATTTCTGTGGTATTAGTTTGCTATTGTGGCTATAACAGATAACAACAAAATTAGTAGCTTAATATAACACAAATGTATTATCTTATAGTTCTGTATGCCATAAGTTTAGGTAAAGTGGGGCCCTGCTGTATTCACTGCTTAGAGTTTCACAAGGATGAAATCAAGGCAGACAAGGCTGCATTTTTTTAGTCTCTAAGAAAAAAAATCTGCTTTCAAGATCAATTGGGTTGTAGAACTGTTGTACCTTTTGTTGTTGCTGACTGGCATTTGGAGCTTCTTCTCAGCTTCTAGAGTCTACTCACATTCTCTGGTCATAACTTCCTTTCTCTGATTTAATGCCAGCAACAGCAACATCATGTTTAGTTCTTCTCAGTCTTGAATCTTGCTCTTCTTTCTTCTTGTGCTGCATCACTTTAACTGTTCTATGCCCCACTTCTATTTTTAAGAGCCCATGTGATTACATTGGGCCAACCTATAAATCCAAGGTAATCTCTTTGTGTTCAGGTCAGCTGATTAGGAACCTTAATTCCATCTGCAAAGTCTCTTTTGCCATGTAATGTAACAGATGCATGGGACTTAACACCAACTCACAAAGGTCATAAGGCTCAAAATCCATCTTACCATAAGGCACAACTTAATACAGTGCTCAAGGGACACTTTTGAATGAAGTCAAAATTTGTGAGCTTGGAGACAAATCTTGGACACAAAGAGAAGCAGGTATAGTTAGATTTCGAGTAATTTATGTTACTTAAAACTACTGTATTTTGCTGTATGTAATGCACACCCATGTTTTTATGTGCATTATACACACTATACATATTATACCCATTATCATACCCATGGTATGTAATCATTATACCCATGTATAATGCCATCTTTATTTTTCCCTCAAAAATTTGAGCAAAAAAGTGCTTATTCTACATGGCAAAATATGGTAAACCAAATCAAGTTCTTTCTTGGAAGCTTTATTTATCCCCTCCCTCAAAATGATTTTTATTTCATCTCAGTCTGGTTATGTATTAATTGTGTGAGACCTGGGTAGGTGGGTTGGTTAGGCTAGGGGGAATGGTACAGAAGGTAAGAGCTGCATAAAACTTGAAAGTTCATCTTGGTCTATTTTTCAGACTACAGATGGGAAAACTGAAATCCAGAAAGGTAACAGTTCTCTAGCCAAGTTACAGTATAACTGAGACTAGAAACCAAGTCTCCTTACATCCTGTCCACTGTGTCATAACACATTTATCATGTCTCACATTGGTAAATACAGTTGTATATTTTAAAGATAGAATTTGTTCTAAGTTTTCCTACCCTTCCCTTCCCTTCCCTTCCCTTCCCTTCCCTTCCCTTCCCTTCCCTTCCCTTCCCTTCCCTTCCCTTCCCTTCCCTTCCCTTCCCTTCCCTTCCCTTCCCTTCCCCCTCCTCCCCCACAACAAAAAACTACATCATCATAATGTAATAAATAATTGTGGAAACTCACACCGTAAACCAGAACTGCAAGGAAATTCAGGTGTTCCTACCCAGTCAGTGACAACAATGAGAAAAAGTGCTTTTTCTGCTGAAAGAGTAGTCATGGAACCTCCTTCTTCAGAATCTACATGATTGACACTGCAGATAGATGCCACTATATCCTCAAGGGAAAATATTATTAGACTCTGGTAATGAGCTTGACCTAAACCCAAACTGATGAGTCTCAGCTATTTAGTGTGGTGTAATTTGTAACTCCACAGCTTGAGACAAGATATTTTTAAGGAAAAAAATAATTTGGCCTGCTTAATATCAATTACCATCTATTTTTCCCATAAGCCTCTTGGTAAACTGGTTATAAAAGAAATATGGTTGATGAGAGAAGGCTAGTAGGAAAGATCTCATTCTTGCCAACAGAATTCTGAGTTTTTACCCATGCTCCACTCTAAGATAATAAGTCACTTTGGTTCTACGGAGCCCACTTATACAGTTTAGTCTTTATCTAGGCTTCCTTCATCTTCTCCATCTACCTTTAATTTTTGATGGGTTATCTCCATAATAGTCAATGAATAGGAAAAGAAGAGAACAAATAAGTCAAAGTTCTGAGGCATTACACACCAAAGACTACTGGAACGGGGATTAATTTTAATGGTTAAACAAATGAGACTTGGATACTCTGGCTGGTGTGGTTCAGTGGATTGAGAACTGGCCTGTGAACCAGTGGGTTGCTGATTTGATTCCCAGTCAGGGCACATGCCTGGGTTGCAGGCCAGGACCCCGAGTAAGGGATGCATGAGAGGCAACCCCACACTGATGTTTCTCTCCCTCTCTTTCTCCCTCCTTTCCCTTCTCTCTAAAAATAAATAAATAAAAATTGAAAAAACTGAGACTTAGATTTTTTACTTTCTTCAGATTGATTTTGTATTATTATTACACTAGCCAGAGTGATTTTAATTTTCAAGGCAGTAAAATACAGTAGTAAAAAACAGGTATTCTTGCCCTGGCTAGTGTAGCTCAGTGGATTGAGCGTGGGCTGGAGAACCAAACAACAGTGGTTTGATTCTCAGTAAGGGCACATGCCTGGGTTGCAGGCCAGTTCCCAGCAGGGGATGCACAAGAAGCAACCATACATTGATGTTTCTCTCCCTCTCTCCTCCCCTTCCCCTCTAAAAACAAATAAATATGATCTTAAAAAAACAGGTATTCTCAAGTCAAACTATAGTCCTGTATTTGAATGTCACCTGCATTATTCCTGAGCTTTTGACTTTCAGTGGGTTATTTTCCTTCTTTAAACCTCAGTTTCCTCATCAGTAAAAAGAGGTATTTTTTTAATTTTTATTTAATTATTTTTCAAGTACATTTTTTGTCTATTTCTCCCATCCCAGCCCCCCCCGCCCTGTCTCCCCACCTCCCTCCCATTCCCCCCCCAGTCCTCATCCCTGTGTCTTTCATACTTGTTCCTCAAAATCCCTCCCCCTTTTTCCCCTTAAATTCCCTTCCCTCTCCCCTCTTGTCACTCCCCACTTGTTCTCTATTTCAGTGTCTTTGTTTTTATTCTGTTTGCTTGTTTGTTTTATTGTTTAGCTTCCTGTCAAAGGTGAGATAAAAGAGGTATTATTAATAGTTTGTAAATTACAGAGTTGTTGGGAAGATTAAATGAGATAGCATATATAAAGTGTTTATTATTGTATTTGAAACAGTAAAAAGTATGAAATATTATTTGTTATTATTTCAAAACTTATGCTGACTTGGTAAATCTACTCTTAAATGACAGGCTTGTGAATTATTCTATGTTTGTGTCTGTTTCTTTATGAAATTAAATAATTTCTTATTTTCAGTCCTTTCCAAGAGGTCAATATTTAAATAAGACCTTAAAAACATATTTGTTGAATGAATGAATGAGTGAATGAATGCAGCTCTACTTCCCAGGTAGGATGATATATTAGTCAAGATGGCCCAGGCTGTGTTATGAAACCAAACAACTCCAAAATCTGATCGGTTCAAAATCACAGAGGTTTATACCTTGCCAATGTTACATATCCAATTGCATGTCAGCAGGAGGGCTTTTTTATTGTAGTCATTTAGGGATGCTGGCTGGCAAGATTAGCCATCATCTCAAACATTGCTCATCATTATTCCTGAAAGAACTATAGAGGTTTTCACCATAGCAATTAAGTGGTCCAGCTTAGAAAGCACCAACATCATTTGCACTCTCAAATCCTTGGCCATAAATGAGTCAGAGGGCCCCACTCAATCACAAGAAATCCAGGAAGGAAAACCTACTATGTGCCTGAAAGGGGCAATAATCAGAAGCATCTGGTGAATAGCATTAATAACTACTCTACCTTGTTAACAGTCACTAATGCATCACTTCTCTTTTTAGACTCTGAGCATCCTGAAGATATTGACCAGCAACATTTCTGGTATATACTACTGCAGGGCTATAAACAAGGCTGGCATTGATGAGAGAAGAATGCAATTCTATGTCTCAGGTAAATTCTCGAGTGGGGAGGATACAGCAGGTGGGGCAGATCTTCTATGCTGTGATTGGAGATGCCTGGAAAATGTATTGTTTCTCAGCCAGCTCAACTCCAGGCCTACAAAGTTGACTGAGAATTTATGATCAGAAGCTCATTATTTGAGGTTAAGGCAGAATTTGGCTGAGTTGAAAATATCCTGGAATGAGCAACACATTACTATTAGACATTAACACCTTAGCAAGAATCTGACTGTTAGAACTTTTCCTTTGTGTTAAGTTTAATTATAGCACCGTGATCTAATTTGTTTCTTTCAAGGTCTCGTTAAAATGAAGTTGTAATCCTTAATCTAGGAGTCAGATGATGAGAATAAAATCTCAGGAGTTGATTTCCAAAATTATGTAGAGCTCAAGTAACTTACTATAATTTTATTTTAGTTATTTAAAAATTAAATGTAGTAGAATAACATTTGTTAATGAGATCATATAGGTTTCAGGTGTACATTTGTATGACACAGGATCTGTATATTGCACTGCGTGCTCACCACCCAGAGTCCAATCTCCTTCTGTCACCTTATATTTGGTCCCTTTACCCTTTACTACCCCTACCCCTCATTCCTCTCACAACCACCCTACTGCTGTGTCTGTGAGTTTTTGTTTGTTTTCCTTCTTTGTTCATTTGTTGCTTTCAGTTTTATATCCCACATATGAGTAAAATCATACGGTTCTTAACTTCTTTCTGACTTATTTTGCTTAGCATTCTATTCTCAACATTCCTCCATGTTTTTAATCATATTATTCCCTATGCCTTAAACAATGATACTTTAATCATGATTTAAAACTGAACAGCATTATAATGTATTATGAATATTTCAGAGATTTGACTTACAGTTAAATAATTTCTTAAACCAATTACCTGTAGGGGGTGAACATAGGCTTTAAAATCAGATGGACCTTCCTGGCTTCAAACCTTGCCTCTGCTACTTTCTAATTTTTTGCTACTTTCTCATTGATTGTATAATCTTGAACAAGTTGCTTCAGCCTTGGACCTTCTCTCTTCTCATCTGTACTACAGGAATACGGGTACCTAGTCCACAGGGTTAGTGTATGAGGATTAAATGAGACAGTATTTATGAAGTAGCTGACACAAAGTAAGTCTTCGATAAGTGCTACATTCTCCAGCTGTGAGCAATAATAAGAGAATGGATGGAGCCTGTGTAGTGCGGTATTTGGAAGAGTCATAGCAGAGCAATCAGTACCTACTTCTCTCTCTGTATCATCTTCCTACCCTATTTTGCTCATAAGGACAGTAGAGGGACACAGGAAAGAGTGAGGTAAAGAAGAAATAATGGAAGCAGGTCAGGTACCTGGATGGTCAGACTGATTCATCAAACCAAGGTAAAGGCATGGGTTGTTGAATAGGAGAGTGATTTCTGAAATGTACTCTAGAGGGTTCCATACTTATGTTTGCTAGTTAGTGCAGTATAATGATGATGACAATGTAGTTTACCACCATTCAAGTAAGAAAAGAAAAACACGTGCCCTGACTGGTGTAGCTCAGCAGACTGACCGCGGGCCTGCGAACCAGAGGGTCGCAGTTTGATTCCCAGTCAGGGCACAGGGAATGCAGGCCAGGTCCCCAGTAGGGGGCGTGCAAGAGGCAACCGCACATTGATGTTTCTCGCCCTCTCTCCTCTTCCCCTCTAAAGATAAATAAATTTAAAATCTTAAAAAAAAGAAAAAGAGAAATATGTGAAACTTGAGGAATGAGGATTTGTGAGCAGAAGAACTAACCTACGTGGTCGGAACTTTATTGAAGATTTCCACTTTTTAAAAAAAGGCTATTCCACTCCTAAACTGTCTTTCTTGGCAAATAAGGCTGAAACTCCAGAGAAAATAGTATGATGTGCCATGGATAGCTAACCTTGACAATTCAGGTGTGAAGAATTATCACAAATGAGCAGTTTTGTTCAGCTGACAGGTTGTAAAACTTCTAGAGGGAAGTAGGACAACTGACCACAATAGATAATTTATTGGCATAAACAGTTGGTGCTGTGCATAGTGGCTCATGGCTTTCCCAAAACAAGGACTTGGAAGACATTCTGGAAACGTCATAATCTTTGATGTCACTGAAACAAGGAGGCAACCCACACCATAAATAGACATTTGACGTGGCTTCTACTAATATAAACAGCCCTGGCTGGTGTGGCTCAGTGGATTGAGTACTGGCCTGTGAATCAAAGGGTTGCTGGTTTGATTCCCAGTCAGGGCACATGCCTGGGTTGTGGGCCAGGTCTCCAATAGGGGGCGTGCGAGAGGCAAGCACACATGGATGTTTCTCTCCCTTTCTGCTTCCTTTCCCCTCTCTCTAAAAATAAATAAATAAAATCTTTTAAAAATAAATAAAACAAACACACACAAAACCAAACCTCTTCCAAGACTGGTACTGTGAAGAAAACTGCCTTGATGGGTCATTGGGTCAGGGCCCAATACCCACTGACATACCTTCTGCACAAGTAAATCACTTTTTTCTTGATTTACTCCCTTAAAGCTACTGCTGCCACAAGTCTGGCCTGAGTTTCTATGCCCTTCCTAAAACTTAGGTCCAAAGATTGAAAAGGGGTCATTTCTTGATCATGTGTAACTCATCTGGATCAAAGCCGAAATATTTGAAATTATTTTACTGAAAGTTTTACAAAACTCAAAAAACATCATGTCCTAGGAGGGCATCACAAAGCTGGACAGTCTAGCTCATCTTCAGCCTGTGATTGACCACAAAGATTCCTTTTTGGCTTACTGAGAGACATTGTTTCTGTGTAGCAAACAACACCACTTTACACTTGTATCCTTGCAGGGACTGTTTACATTCTGAGACTCCTTGAAGCCCAGGACAAAGGCCCTCTCTCCAGCTTTCTAGCTTATTCAAGTTAGTGGTCTCTGTGTGTTTGTTTTCTGTAGAATACTTGGATGCTAAAAATAACACTTTACTCATCCTTCACCCACAATAGACCCCATCAAGATGAACTTTTTAGAATTGTTTGGTGCAGCCAGTGACAGTGTAATAATGTTCACATGGAAATCTCTCTCTCTCTCTCTCTCTCTCTCTCTCTCACACACACACACACACACACACACACACACACACAGAAAGAAAGTCGTTTCTTCAGAGTTCCTGCTGTAGGAACTCAGGCGTGCCTAACCTATGGGAATTATTACAGAGGATACATGTAGCTAAGAATGAAACATTGAACATAATCGTTTAGACTTTGAGAAAGCCCCTTGTGTAGAAATGTTGAGAATGTTCCACCCTAGAGACAATGTGAAAGGAATGAAGTCACAATGGAATTGCAAGAATGATTTATGTAAATGAACAAAAGAAGACCTGCTGTGGGATTTGTTCTGAGACCAGTGTTCTTGATCTGCAAAGAAGTGTCACAGTGATGGTTTCCAAGCTCTTAAATAATACTAAGCATTTTCAGATGGTGCAAGGCTGAGCCAACAGGGAGACACTTCAGGATGATTTCAGAAGGCAATGGGCCTAGGAACAAGGGACAGCATTTGGCCCAGATAGTGGGTGAGGCAAGTGAAGGGCAGTTTAAGTCCAAACCAGCCTGGCCTCTCTCTCCATCTCTCCCTCAAGTCTCATGAAAAATACTAATACTAATACTAATAATACTGACAAGATAGACTTTGTGCCTCTAGCTTTTGTAGAAAGTGCTGGAAGACAACACAAGATTATGTCTTATACTAGGCTTGGGGTCCATGAGTGGACAAATGTCCCTCTGCCACACATACATAAGAATGAGTCATTGAGAATGGAGGCAGAAAGGTCAGTCTTTGCTTTTCCACTTATTTTCCCAATCAGCAACTTCTCTCCTTTCCTGAGCTGTGTTACTTTACAGGAAACAGCTGGAGTGAGCTGAGGAAGGTTCAAGGACGGATGTCCCAACAGAGCAGCATGGGTGCCCGGTTTAGGAAAGGCTGAAAAGTACTAGGCTTCTGCACTCTGAAGAAAACAGAGTGACTGCTTTGTATCCCTGGCAGCAAAGTGTTCTCCCAGATACATAATTCCTGCACCTGTCCTGGATGCCCAGAAAAACAGACTGTTTTGTGTCTTGCCCTTTATCCTCAGAAAAATAGAGAGGCACAGAGAAGATTAAACAAATGTGCAGACACTTGCCGGCCTCAACTGGCAAATGTCAAACATTGGGAGTGGTCCCCAAGGGAGATGGGATCATTCAAACAACTTACCCTCCTCCTCAAACCCCATCACCAGTGAATTATGCATCAAATATACTGAATTTAGCGATAATTTCATTGCTATAATTTCAGCTTTCCCCCCACCTTCATTCTCTTCTATGTGGAAACAAACTGCTGATTCGTTTATCAAGCAACCTTTGCTAGACTCAGAGATTGTTATGTGCCCCAATAAGATTGATTTTCCCTCAGCTGCACGAAGAAGAAAAAGGCTAAAGGACTTCGTTCTGCATCAGCCGTCTTCATTACCAATGCATGCGCCATCTAGTTTATTCTGGCAAGGGACAGGGGAGTGTGGTGATGTTAGGTCATAAGACAACTCCAGGCCAAAGGAGAATTATGGAGGAGAAATTAGAAAACCAGTGATATATAGTCTTGGCTTTATTGCTAAACCTGGTTGTGTGATCTTGGTAAATTACTTCCCTTCCCTGGGACTCAGTTGTTTCATTGATAGTATGAGAAAAAAATACATTATAGATAAATTAATGCAGCTGCAATTCCATAACATAATGATTTGGAGGAAAGTCTTAAGATACAATGTGTGAAATATAGGGAAAGAGAGGGAGAGAGTAAGGCTGGAAGGGGTGGGAGTTCCAGACTCTGGGTGAAGATGTGCCCTCTGTGACTTCGACATTTTATCAATTTTCCATTTATATAAATATTTGTGTCAATTAATTAGCACATTTTTGACATGTTTACAGGACATTTGAAAAGGGCTTTGTTATTTCAGATCGTTTTGCTTCTTTCTTTTTGTTTTTT